GAGCACCCACAAAAATACCAGGGCACTTGAATAATGGGACTGGTATTCGCATTTGCGACCATTAACTGGATTCTCCTTATAATCATCGCTATCGCATACACACATACCGGCCCTACATTTCCGCATAACATCCCACGTTTGCATACAATCGCTTTCTGACTGACAGGTATAGGCCACACATTTCAGGTGTTTGGCCGACCACTTATAGTCGGGTGCGCACCGACACCGACCCTCCACACACAGCTCCCGGGGCGCATCGCAGTGGGCGTCCGACTGACATACCGGTGCCCATTGAAACTCACATACGCTGTTGTTATAGATATTCTCGCGATAGTTGTCATAACAGATGCATTTCCCCGCATAACAGGTGCGCATGAGATCCCATTCCGACGTACAGTCCCTGTCCATGCTATACTTAATACAGTGGTAGGGCTCACACCTACCGCTCTTGGAGTTCCACTTGTGGTTGACAGCGCACCGGCATTTATTTTCAATGCAAATCTGGTTAAGGTCAGTACCACAATCCCTGTCCCTTTGACATGTAGGCATCCACTCGAACTCACACTTCCGACCGTTATCTGTATTCTCGCGGTACTGTCCGCTAAAACAGATACATTTCCCCTTCTGACAGGTGCGCATAGTATCCCATTCCTGAGTGCAATCGTAGTTATAGGTGCACCGGTAGGGTTCACATGACTGGGTCCTGTTGTTCCATCGGTAGTCGGGCGCACACCGGCAGGTGTTGTCCCCACAGACCTGATTGCTGTGTGGGCACGACTGGTCGGACGTACATGAGGTGGACAGTTGTTGTTGCGGTTGTTGATTGACTCTATGGATAGTACTCTTAGTCTCTATTAATACAGTGTTTTGTATTAAAATCAATGCACTAATAGTTATAATAATTATATGATTTGAAAACATTTTTTAAATTGAAATAAATGTTATTGCGATTTAAAATGTATTAAATTTGAAACTTATTACTTAATTATTAATTAATTTGTAATGAAATGATGTATAGATTGGTAATTAGCAAAATGTTAATTTTATAATTACTATTGCCTGAAAAAATAGTTTTTAATTTTTTTAAAAAAAGGGTTTTAATACAATATCATTGCTGTATCAATAAAACTTTATTTTCGATTTAGCAATATTGTAATTTACTATTATAATTTATAATACAGCAGTAGTTTTTCCAGTTTGGTACGTCTCATGTTATATTACAGTATTAAAAGTGCAATAAATCATCTATTTAATTTACAGTTCATCTAAATAAATATATTTAAACAATTATTTTATGTTAATTATTTTAAAATGAAAATGCAATTAAATAAATCACCGGAACATTAAACAAACTTAATGTTTTAATGTTTAATTGTAAATTTTTTTAAAACTACTTTGTTTTAGTCTGGATATAATAGCACACATTTTATTAAAATACACAACAATATTTTTGGTTAAATTGTTTAATATATAAATTATAAATTGCAAAAATATTTATAAATATAATTAGATTATATTATATTATTTATTATAGGCATCTAAAAGTCATTTCAATTTAATTTTGGCCTCATATTAATGTAGCAAGCTCATATCTATGGATAGCTCATTATACAATTTAATACAATTATTAAAAAAGTTGGTCACACCTAATTATCATTATTTCCACATTTTTTATTGCAAATAATCGTAATAATAACACCAAATATACACAAACTTTAAACTTGGAGCTCCACTTTTGGTTGACACCGCACCGGCATTTATTTTCTATACAAATCTGATGAGAGTCACTACCATAATCCCTGTCCCTTTGATATATAGAGGTCCACCCTAACTCAAACTTACGACCGTTATCTGTATTTTCGCGGTACTGTCCGCTAAAAAAGATACATTTCCCCTTATGATAGGTACGCATAATATCCTGGCCACACTCATTGCCGTTAGTGCACCGGTAGTATTCACACGACTGGGTCTGGTTGTCCCAAAGGTAATTGGGTGTACACCGGGATGTGTTGTTCCCACAGACCTGATTGCTGTGTGGGCACGACTGTGCGGACGTACAGCTGGTGGGCAGTTGTTGTTGCGGTTGTCCATCGACTCTATGGAGAGTACCATTAGTTTCCATTAATACAGTTTTTTGTATTAAAATCAATGCATTAATAGTTATTATAATTATATTTAAAAACATTTTGTAGACAATATAACCGTGAATGAAATTGTATTGAGTTTTAAAATTTGTTACTAAATTATGTTTCAATACTGTATTTCAATTAACAAGTATGTTATAAAATTAATTGTTTGAACAAATACTTTAATTATTTTAATGTTTTATTACAAAATTCAATTTCAATGCTACCATATTACTTTTACTGTATCACTAAAAAGTTAAGTAATAATAATATAGTAACTGTAATAATATGCGACTGTCGACTCCAATTAGTTACAAAAAAAGTTAAAATATTTAGTGTAAAATTAATAATTTATTTTATTTACAGTTCATCTACATCAAACTTAAAAATATCTATTTTTAAATGTTAACAGTAATAAATTTTATCATATAAATTCATATACTTATATAAATTAGTTGTACTTTTATAATAATAAATTTATGCCGCTAACAAAGTATTCGTAATATTGAAATAAAATTATTTAATATCGTAACAATTTTTTTTATTAAAGTTGTTATTAATTAGTTTTATCATTTTAAATTAATATACATTGTTTGACATTTTCATAAACATAACTTATTATATAATAACATTTATTTTATTATTATTCCGACATTTTCTCTTATAAATCACCCTGATAATAGCCCATAATATGCACAAACCCATCACAACGGGAACGACTATCAGCGCCCACATCCACAGCCAAACCCTCATTGAATACTCGCATTTGCGACCATTAGTAGAGATCTCCCGGTAGTTACCCATACATTCACAGGAGCCGGACCTACATAACCGCATAGCATCCCAGTCCACTTCACAGTCTATGTTGCTATTGCACCGGTAGTAATCACATGACAGGGTCCTGTTATTCAAGTAGTAATTGGGTTCACACCGGCAGGTGTTGTCCACACATACCTGATTGCTGTGTGGACACGACTTGTCGGACGTACAGTTAATAAACAGCTCACTATAGTATGTTATATTGCCGGTGCCCATATGTCCACTACCCTGGACAGTTTCAATAAATACAGTGTTTATAATTATCGCACTGATAGTTAGACTAATTAAATATTTTGACAACATATTTTAATATTTATAGTTAAATTAATTTGTTTTAAAGTGTAATAAATATTATTATTGGATAAATATATTGTATTAAAATTATAGTAATTCTAAATCTAGTGTAATACTTAATATAATGTAAATATAATGTGTCAGATGCCTGAGTAAATATTTGAATTTTTTTTAATTTTATAGATTGTTATAAATTATATTTATTTGCTGTTTCAATGAGAATATTCTGTTTTCACTATTATTTAATTTAAAAGTTACTATTTTTATGGTAAAGTCTGTGCAATTTTTATCTTACCACATGTTATAGTATAAATTTCACTATAATTTTAACAGTACAATGCCAATAATACCTGCTACTTAATTACACAACATTTCTTAACACGTAAAAGGTAAAATATTTATTTATTTACACGTTGTGCACATTTGCGGACTCTAAACCAATACCCCCTGAATGGCGTGTAAGTAAGGGGTGCTGACAGTCGTCTCTATTCAATTGGTTTCTTACTATTGAGACCACAATCTAATACTAAACGCAATGGTTTTATAACCCAATATTCATAATAATGTAGTGATTAAAAAATATATTTACACTGTTTTTCAAATATAACCAAATAGCGCAGAACTACAATTAATATATTACATGTAATATCAAACTAGGAGTGTATAATACTAGATATACCTGTAATGAAAGCAAGGTAAGATTACCTTTATTAAAATGCATTGTATTTATAATTCATATAATAGGTATGACCCAGATTCTTACCATGGACAAAAAATATAAAACCACAATTGAACGGCCCGTTTACTAGATATAATTAATTGCAAAATATTATACGCAAAAATATTTTATGAAACATTTCGTGAATATAATGACTATTTAAAAAAATAATTAGTGACAAGTATTTTAAAGAATTTTTATTTAAATAATAAGCAAGCAGAATTCTTACAAAATATATGATAAAAAATAAATGTAAGATTTTAGTGGTTTGTGTGATAGGGTTGTGACCAGTGATAGCCCACATTAACCGTACTTTAAGTCGTTTTCGACAAAACGAATTCAACACTCAATATAAATGCCATGAATTCAGTGTTTGAAAGCACCCTTCGCTGAGGCCTTAACGATGAAATCCCTACATATAATGGGATCCATTTCCAGATAGGCCTTGGATTGTGTGACTTGAGTCAGATGTGCCAAAGCATAGCTAAAACAGAGTTCCTCCAGTTCCGGGACCTCATACTTAAGTGAAGCCGTATATACACGTAAAACGTTGTCGACTGTAATACCATTCCGTATAAGTCGGACACTCCTATCCTTGAGGTCAGTCTCGCAGTAAGATTCGGCCAAATCTAATAACTCGATACCATCTTCCGGTGCGACACATACCTCACCCGTGTATAGGTATCGCAGGAATGACTTATACACGCCATACGAGTATTGAGTCAACTATTGAGCGATAATTAGATTTAATTTTCAGTTAATTCTATAATATATGAGTTAAAAGAAATGGATGAACACATTAAAGATTATTTAGTAGTCTTTTGTGAGCTCACAACTAAACAAATGAAAATATTATATCTGATAGACCAAAATCAAACGTACCTCTGAAAAGTTGCTTTTATTTCTTATTGAAACATTGCTTTTGTGTAAAGTTTGAAATTGATAAGGTTTAATATAAGTAATTTTCAAACTTTACAGAAAAGCAATGTTTCAATAAGAAATTTTTGTAGTAAAACGTTTGATTTTGGTCTATCAGATATGAATGACTTCAGTGAAAAAACTTCAATAAAAACTTTCAAATAAAATTATTACTATATATCGGATAATAACGGATATACTGACCGCCAGCTCCTGTTTTTCCCGTTCGATCCAATTGGCAAACAAAGACCGGAAGTGTTGGCATCGGATGCGGAGTATATCTTTGTGGACGTGAATAGGTTTTCCTTCGACTATGATCTTAAAGCTACTGGTGTTTGGGTCGTCGAAAGCCTCATTCAAATGAGCCATAACTGGTTTGGTGTCCAAAATTGTTGACTCACTGTCGGACACATCACTCAATACAACAGATTTATAGGTAATGGTAGGCGTCGAGAAGACAGCGAATATGTCGTGTAATGAGTCATATGTCGTCTCTAATCAGAGATATTTTGATTACAATTTTATACAATTATTCATTCATTCAAATGGTTACTCATTGGCTGTAATATAGTCCCGTTTGGGGGCTGACATCCACCCCATACATAGCCCACACCATCCATTGTAATAGCGGCCGATATATTAGTCCTCATATTTGCCGCGATATCACGAAATGGACCCAAACTGTTGTCTAACTGAATAGGCGTTGATTGGTTGGTGGTGTTACCGGTGCCCAACTGTCCCGCATTGCAACATCCAAACCTATAGATTATCCCATCTTTGGATAAAAGCATTGTGTAATTATGACCGCAAACCACACGACATATGGATATGTGGTCTAAATGTGTGATTAGCACTGGAATGGTTTGGTCTGTTTGGTGTCCTAAACCCAACTGTCCACTTCCATTATGGCCCCTATATATACAACAATATGACAATTTAATCGTTATTTTAGATCATTAATAATACATACCATGAAAAGACAGCTCCCGTGTCCGACACCGCCATTGAATGAACGTATCCGCAAGCGATGGACACAACACGACACGATCCGAGAGCGCCCTTCACTCTAAGTGGGAGGGGTAGGTGAGTAGTCGTGCCATTGCCTAACTCTCCATGACTATTATGACCCCAGCCATATACATGTCCCACATTTGTGAGGGCCAGTGTGTGGTAAACACCGCACGATATGTCCACCACTTTCTCATTCAATGATACTTTCATGGGTTCAGTGGAACTGGTGGTCGACCCGTTCCCCAACTATATTTTTCCCAAATAAGATTTAATTGATTTGCAAATACAGTGTCTTTCACCATGGACCTCCGCCTTTTAATTGCAATATCTCAAA